CTACTACTACTACTACTACTACTACTACTACTACTACTACTACTACTACTACTACGACTATTACTACTACTACTACTCCTACTACTACTACTACTACTATTAGTACTACTACTACTACTACTACTACCACTACTACTACTACTACTACGACGACGACGACGACGACGACGACTACTACTCCTACTCCTACTCCTACTCCTACTCCTACTCCTACTCCTACTACTACTACTACTACTACTACTACTACGACTACTACTACTACTACTGCTGCTACTACTAGTACTACTACTACTGCTACGTCTGCTACTCGTGCTAGTACTACTACGAGCACTACTACTTCTACTACGACGGCTACTTCTACTGCCACTGCTACTGCTAGTGTCACTGCTACTGCTACTACTACTACTACTACTACTACTACTACTACTACTACTACTACTACTACAACTACTACTGCTACTACAACTACTACTGCTACTGCTACTACTACTAGTACTACTAATACTACTCCATCTGCTACTAGTACTAGTACTAGTACTACTACTACGACGACGACGACGACTACTACTACTACTACTACTACTACTACTACTACGACTCCTACTACGAGGGGCCCGAACGACTCGCACAGTGGGCGAGGTGCCCGAACGCCCGCACCACGATAAGCCGGACCGACTCACCCAGGACGAGAGGTCCGAAACGACTCACACCAAGAAGAGCCCTACGAACGACTCACACCAGGACGAGGGGCCCGAACGACTCACACCACGAAGAGCCCGAACGACTCACACCAGGACGAGGGGCCCGAACGACTCACACCAGGACGAGGCGCCCGAACGACTCACACCACGAGGAGCCCGAACGACTCACAACACGAGGAGCCCAACGACTCACACCAGGAGGAGGGGCCCGAACGACTCACACAACGAGGAGACCGAACGACTCACACCAGGAATAGGGTCCCGAAGGACTCACACAAGGACGACGGGGCCGAAGAGCTCACACAACGAGGGCCCCCAACGACGCCCACCAGTCGTCGTCGTCGTCGTCGTCGTCGACGTCATCGTCGTCGTCGTCGTCGTCGTCGCCGCCGCCTTCGTCGTCGTCGTCGTCGACGTCGTCGTCGTCGTCGTCGTCGCGGTTGCGGTCGTCGTCATCGTTGCGGTCGACATCGTCGTCGTTGTCGGGTGCGTCGTCGTTGTTCAGATCATCGCTGAGGTCGTCGTCTCCACTAAGTCCCTCTTGCCTCCCACCGCTTTCTCTCCCTCCTCCTCCGCCTCGTCCTTTTCCCGCTGCCCCCACAAGGAGGATGTACAAGGAGGCGGGAGGAAGGAAGAACAGGGGAGACATGCGGGGCCAAGCGGACACACGCCTGAAAAACACGACTGCCGGCATGCTTCGCAAGAGTTGCTGTTGTGAGATGGGCTGGTGGGGATACGCGAAGCGTAAAGAATTTCCTACAGCGAATCATCGCCCCCCTCTGCTTTTTGGAATCGCCGGGGGGGGGGGGGGGGGACAATGTGGCCGATAGTGTGGCCAGAGCTCTGCCAAGCTATCGGACCATGTGTCCCCCCAGGCCGTTGTGGAAACCGAACACTTGGGGGAGGATGGCGGGGAAGATCAGGAGAGAGGAAGGAGGAGGAGGAGACATCTTAGGAGCCTCTGACGGCACTCTTGGGGCCTCCTGGGAGCTTCCTGGGAGCCTCTCGGAGGCATCTTGGGGACATCCCTGGTCCTCGTGGGGGCCTTTGGGGACTTCTCGGGGCCCGCTTTGCCCGTGTTAAGGCATTCCTGGACCGTCTGACGCCGTCGGAAGCCGTCGTGGAGGCTTCTCTGGGCCGACTTTGGGGGGCCCCTCTTGGGTGTCCCTCACCAGTCGTCTTCCACGCCATGTTGGGCGTCTTGGATGTATGCTTGGACCGTCTTGGACGCTCTTGTACCGTCTTGGAGCCTCCAAAAGGCCAAGAGGTCCTCCGGGAAGGCCCCCAAGAAGCCAAAATCAGTGATGTCCCTTGGGTTGGTTGGAAGGAATTTGGCTTTGCTTCTTTTCGGCTTCGGACGGCCCAAGACGGCCTCAAAGGCCCACGAGATCGGACTCAAGATTGGCCCTTGCGGCCTCCAATATGGCACCAAAACCTGCCCCATGGGCGATTCAGAAGGCAAGGGCGGGTGATTCGCCGTTCGCGACTTCGATCCGCCCACCCCTATTGACTTATCACAGGGGTGCCTGGCGTCTATAGACCTTACCGTTCTTGTCTTGAATTCTTTTCCCAAAAAAAATCCCCCTGGGGCTTCGGCCCAGCGCGCCGGCCAACCCTGAAGGCTCTTCTTTTTCCTAACAGCGTTTGCTGATAGGTTTCTAGTAGGGTCAAAAGAGAGCATCTGGACTCCACAGGGGGGTCTGGGCGGGTGCCGGGGAGGAGAACCGGGAATCGTTTTTCACCAACAGTCACACACTTCGTGCTCTTCGACCTCCCAGAACTCCATTCCCGGGACACATTCTGGAGAACCGGGAACCGAGCCGGGCTCGCTTTTTGCCAACAGTCACACACTTCGTGCTCTTCGACCTCCCAGAACTCCATTCCCGGGCCACATTCTGGAGACCGGGGAACAGAGCCAGGCTCGTTTTCGACAACAGTCAGATGCTTCGTGCTCCTTCGACTCCCTTTTTGACCATGCCTTCCCCGGGCCTACATTTGATTGCCCGGAGCAACTGTACGCCACTTCTGCTCTTAGAGTTCCCAGAACCCATGTTCCCGGGGCCACAATTTTGTATGCCGCGGAGCCAACTGTAGGCCACTTCGTGCTCTTCAAGTTCCCAGAACTCCATTCCTGGGCATGATTTTGAATGCCCGGAGCCAACTGTAGGCCACTTCGTGTTCTTCTAGTTTCCAGAACTCCATTCCTGGGCCACATTTTGAATGCTGAGGCAGGCTGATGCTGAGGCTGAGGCAGGCTGAGGCTGAGGCAGGCTGAGGCTGAGGCCGAGGCTGAAGGCAGACTGAGGCTGAGACTGAAGCAGACTGAGGCTGAGGCTGAGGCAGGCTGAGGCTGAGGCTGAGGCAGGCTGATGCTGAGGCAGGCTGAGGCTGAGGCTGAGGCTGATGCAGGCTGAGGCGGAGGCAGGCTGAGGCTGAGGCCGAGGCTGAAGGCAGACTGAGGCTGAGGCTGAAGCAGGCTGAGGCTGAGGCTGAGGCAGGCTGAGGCTGAGGCAGGCTGAGGCTGAGGCTGAGGCAGGCTGAGGCTGAGGCTGTGACTGCGACTGCCGTTGCCGCTGCGACTGTCATCGCGAATGCGACAACGACTGCGAGAACAGCAGAATTCTACAACTGGATTTTCATCTGAATCTTAAGGGGAATGCTTTCAGATATGCTTCTACATATCGCTGTTAGGTTGCTTTGCCAGGATAATTTTGTTCAGCAACGGAACAAGAATCGTAGTCTCGTCGGCGCCGATTCCAGCTTAGCATCGCCGACGTAGCTGCCATGCACAAAGGCCTCCAAAGGCTCTTCCAGATGTGGTTGCCAACGTTTCTCCCGTTCCAGATGGCTCCAAGACGCCCGAGACGGCAAAGATGGCCCTCAACTTCGCCCAAGATTGTCTAAGATGGCCTCCAAGACGTCCAAGATGCCTCCAAGTTTGCCCAAGAAGACACCCAAACGGCCACCAAAGCTGGCCTCAGGCTGACCGAAGTCGGTCTAAGTGGCCCCCAAGAGGCCTCCAAGACGGCCGAAGAGGCCTCTAAGAGGACCTCCAGGAAGGCCCGAAGAGGCCAAAATCATGGTGTCCCCTAGGTCTTACGTACATGGATCTTGGCATCTGCTTCTCCTCGGCCTTCCGACGGCCCGAGACGGCCCAAGAGGCCCCCGGGGTCGCCCCCAGAGCGACCGAGAAGCAACCAAGATGGTCGATGGTCCCATAACAGCCCCAAGGGGGCCCCAAGATGGCAGGTCTGCGCTGGATCGGACCGCGAAATCAGATCGGATCGAGAGCAGCTCGAATCGCCAACGAATCGTCCCGAATCGGATCGGTATCAAATTGCCGTGCCCCACTTCCGGCTGGCCCTGGCCGATGCCGGTGAACGGAGCCGGATCGCATCGAATTGGAATCGCGGCCCCAGCCGGCGAATCGAGTCGCATCGAATCGGATCGTAGGCGGCCCCCAGGTGGCCTCCAAGACGGCCCGGGAGTAGCCCAAGAGGGCCCCATGTCGGCCCAGGGAGGCCCCCCAAGACGCCCCCAGGGGGGCGTTAGACGGGCCAGGAGCGCCGCCCCAAGAGTGCCCCCCAGTCTCCCAAGATGCCCCTTCCTCCTGCCCCTGCCTCTCCTCCTCCTCCTCCTCCTCCTCCTCCTCCTCCTCCTCCTCCTACTCCCTCCTCCTCCTCCTCCTCCTCCTCCTCCTCCTCCTCATCCTCATCCTCATCCTCATCCTCATCCTCATCCCATCTCATCCTCATCCTCCTCCTCATCCTCATCCTCATCTCCTCCCCTCCTCATCCTCATCCATCATCATCATCATCATCATCATCATCATCATCATCATCATCATCATCATCATCATCATCATCATCATCATCATCATCATCATCATCATCATCATCATCATCCGTCTTCCTCTTCCTTTTTCCTTCCTCTCCTCGTCCTCCTCGTCCGTCCCCCACGTTTTCCCCGAAAGGTCTCCGCAACGGCTGGGAGGAACGCATGGTCCAGTGGCGTGCCCAACGCTTGCCCAAGCGTTTCGCCACATAGGCGTAGCCGCAAAGGCAGGGGGCGGCGGGGATTCGCCGTAGGCGTCTTCGACCAATGATCTATGAGCAGTCTTGGGGGGGTCTTGGGGCTCATCGGAGGCCCTCGGGGGCCTCCTCGGAAGCATCCTGAGTTCTCTTGATCCCTCTTCGTCTTGGGCTTTCTTAGAATCCAAGAGGCCCGAAGTGAACGAGTCCACTTCGAACCTCATTTTTGCTCGCGACCACTGGTGCTACACTTCCCAATGCTATCGAGGGTAACTCGTTTGTGGGCAGTGGCGGTCTTTCGGTAAGGGGAGGACTCCTTGGTTCTCCCCGCCGAAGATCCCAAGCCGACAAACTGTGCGACGCATCCGCCAAACAAAAAAAGCACTGACATATTGGAATTGCCAGCGCATGGACCGAAGTGGACAGTCCAGTCCTTTCAGTACACGGTGGCAAACCTCCAAGGTCGGGCCGCCATCGACAGTATCAGACCTATGTTCGACGAATGCACTGGTGACACACAACACACCACTTGCGAATTGTCCAGGCGCAATCAAAGATCCAGCCCCTCGCAGTCTTCTGCTTGGGAGGACGGTGAGGAGAGCGTGGAGTCATCGGTAGTGAGAACACCAGCGGCTTACAGAGATCAAAGAATATTTTTAGAACTGCGCAAAGGATTCCGCGTCGGGGATAGGAGAATCATGCTGCCTGTTAAACAGCGCAGATGGTCGTACAAAGCATGCCATTGTCAAAATCTGCTGCCTGACATGGCATGACACTACTACGCAATGAGAAGGTGTTCTTCCTCGTTTCAGACCTCGGGGCCTTCCGAGGCGACACGGGGCTGGGCGGAGGACTGCGCGATGGCGCCCATGGCCGCCCGAGCTGTGGGAGTCGGCTCGAGGAGTGCGGACAGATTGGCTAGCACCGGCTCGCTGCGCACGCCGCCCATGACCGCCAGCGCACGAGCGTGGCTTCCCCCGCCGGAGAAGAAATTCTTGATCCTTCTGGCCGTGGGCTCCAGCACCGCCTCCTCCGGCCAGCCGACCGCCTGCCTCATCGAGCCCAGGCCCCCGGCGGCCTCAACAGTCCGCAGGCTTGGCGACGTACGACTCGTCCAGTGCCACCTCTGGGGCGATGCACGGCAGGTCTCCGCACGACGCGGCCAACGGCGTCGATTCTGGGCAGTGCCTCGCCTGGAAGAACTTCACCGACCAGTTTTCAGACTGGTCCTCCACGACGATGTGCTCCAGAGATACTTACTTATGCACGACGTCCTGTGAGTGACAGTAGACCAGCGATCCTGCTATCTGCATTGTGCAGTTCACAGCATCCTCCACATCGAGGCGGTACCCTGGCTGGTCCAAGGGGCGCTGGCGCAGATTCTGCATGCCCCCGAATTCGAGGGCTAAGTACACCAGAGAGAACCTATGGCACATGTGATTGCAGTGGACGATGTGTGGGTGCATGAGCACGTCCCTCAAGAATCGCAATTCGCAGTAGATGCACTTCAGGTTTCCAGCAGATACGTGGTCCGACTTGCCGTAGATCTTGAGGACAACCTTCTCGGACTCGCAGCGATCGGCAAGCAGTACGTCGTTACCGCCCCTTGCGTTATCAAAACGATTGGTCACATAGTAATCGCGAACACTGTTGGGTGTCTCCACGAGGTTGGGATCGATGGGGTCGAATTTGGGCATCAGGCACCACAGCGCTGGCACCGACAGCCAGGCGCGCGTCGTGGCGCGCCATGACCGTCTGTACAAATTCTTGGCTCATTCCACCCGGGACCACAAGCAGCTTCAGCACAAACACGCAGAGGTCGCGGTGCAGCTCGAGTTCTTCCAACAACTTCTTCATCACGCGCTTCTCGTACCACGTTTCGAACGTGCATGGCACAAGCTAACTGGCGCTCTCGGATGCCAGGGACGCGATCCGCTCTGCGTCACAATGACCCCCAGGCGCAGAGTCTGGTGTGGCAAGCTTGCTAGGTCGCTGCGGACAGCTCCACAGCACCAGGGTGGCGAACGCGAAGTGCGCGGGCAACTGCGAGCCCACTCGGGAAACATAGCTCTCTATCGCTGCTTGGCTGGAGGCCGACGGCAGCCCAACTTTCCTGGCTCCCATGGTACAGAACCCAGCGGTGTTGCGAGGATTCGTGCTGCCCCGCGGCAGCGCAGGCACCTGTGGCCGTTGGCGCCTTGGGCCGTCTTGGACAATCTGAGATCGAAGGAGAAAGTATTCCAAACTGGTACAGATGCCTCGCGAACATCATGTCAATGTGGCCCCTCGGGGCTACTTATGCGCTCACTTGGGGCTTCCTATTGGGGCAATCTCGAGGCCCATAACACCAGCTTGGCCATCCAAACAGTCAACAACCGAAAAGGCTCTCAGCCGCAAAAAGGGCCCAAGAGAGACACAGGAGGGGGAACTTACAGGGGTTCCTAGGAGTCCTCCCCCAAAAGCTCCTCGAGGAGGAGGTTGACGAGTAGGAGGAGGAGGAGGAGGAGGAGAAGGAGGAGGCGGGGGAAGGGGGAGGAGGAGGAGGAGGAGGAGGAGGTAAACTACAGCACACCCACGAACTCCAGAACCAACTTCGGGTCTTTTACAGGACGAACTGCAGCAGACGTGGAGGACGAAAAATACAAACCGGCAACACATGCACGCAAGCATCACGACGGGGAACCGCAACGAAACACACGAAATCGGAGGCCGCACGTGTCCTATCCTGGGGCGGGGGGTCGGCGGAATGGCGCCAGCTGGTCGAATCACGCAGTTGTGCCTTTTCAGGGCCTCCTGGAAGTTCCCTCGGGGCCCCCTTTTTTCCAGGCGGCTGCTGCAAGATGTCTCCCTTCGCGTCGCAACGAAAACTACAGCTCGAAGTTGTGGTTGCCTGGTTTCGATTCATGAAATAACCAAGCGAAATCGTCAATCTCTGTATCAAGGATCTGCTGAACACGGTAAATCATGCTACCCTTCTCACACGTTTGAACAACGTCCAATTTCTGTCGATCACCGCTTGTAAGCTTGACACCGCGCATGGTGTACAGGTCAATGTCCTCGCTCTCACTGCCGCGCAGGAAGGATGCAACTCGGTCGTCATCGTGGCCGTTCAAATCAGCAACAAGCATCAGAGTTGTTTCGGTTGGCTGCGTGTAAATTCCATGCTTATCAAATCCGGCGACCCTGGCGAACGTCATCTTAGTCGGCGTTCCGGCGACATTAGGCGGAAAGGGGGGGGCGAGGGGGGGTCTGGCTCTGGATCTCTGCATGACGCGACTGTTTGAAACAGTGCGTCCTGTGGGAGTGACTCCACCGGCTCGAAACAGGCGCCAAAAACAGCCTGAGATCTACTCCTTGGGGGGGGGAGGGGGGGGCGAAGGCCCAAACCGATCGGCTAAACAATGAATAAGACAGCGATCTCTTGTCAGTGTGTGAGAGAGAGAGAAGGATGGTTGGGCCAGTCGTCCCGGAGTGATCCTCGGAAACGATCGCCGTTGCCTTTTCCCGAAATCCTCCTGGAGACCCTCTGCTCGTAAACTCGAGGTGACTCGAGCCAGGTCGCTGTCGAGGTCACAATCGAGTCGAAGGGGACCCCCTTATCTTTGACTCATTTCCCGCCAAGCCTAGGGCGGTGCTGGAAGGCTTCCCAGGGGGTCCATGGGGAGGAATCCCGTGTCAGAATAGGGTTCCCCCTTCCCTCTCTGGGTCGCCTTCGAGCAAGTCTGGACTTCTTTTGCCAATTCAGGATAGAGAAATCCCACCAGCCCTTTGGGCGTGAGTGGTTTAGCGAGCTCTCTCTGTTCTCAACCCCCCTTCTTCCCCTTCGGGGAGGGGTTTACCCCTCCCCCTACCCCCTCCCCCTGGGCCTGGAGAGGTCCCTCCGCGGGTGGCCGGAGGGGTCTTTTTCGACTCCTGGGAGGGCTAAAATTCGACACCCCTCACGAGGATTCTGGCCCCGACGGGGGGGGGGAGAAAAGTGCTCCCCCCATCTGTGATCGATCGCCCGACAGATGGCCCCAAGATTCCTCCCAGACCCCTCCAAGAGGCCTCCAAGAGGCCTCCAAGAGCCCCCAAGAGGCCTCCAAGAGGCACCCAAAATGCTCCCAAGAGGCCCCCAAGAGGCCCCAAGAGGCTCCCCCGAGGCACCCAAGACGCTCCTGGAAGCCCCTGGAGCCGCCAAGAGGCCCCCAAGACGCCCCAAACCGCCTCCAAGAGGCTCCAAAGGAGGCCCCAAGAGGCTCCCCCAAGGCACCCCGGACGCTCCTAGAAGCCCCTGGGGCCGCCAAGAGGCCCCGAAGACGCTCCAAAAGGCTTCCAAAAGACATCTAGTACTACTTCTACTACTTCGACTACGAATACTACTACTACCACTGCTAGTACTACTACTACCACATGATCTGCCACAACAACAGCAACAACAACAACAACTACTACTACTACTACTACTACTACTACTACGTCTACTACTACTACTACTACTACTACTACTACTACTACTACTACTACTACTACTACTACTACTACTACTACTACTACTACTACTACTAACTACACTACTATACTACTACTACTACTACTACTACTTCTGACTACTACTACTGACTACTACTACTACTACTACTACTACTACTACTACTACTACTACTACTACTACTACTACTACTACTACTACTACTACTACTACTACGACTACTACTACTACTACGACTACCCACTGCACTACGTACCACTGCTACTACGACTAAATACTAACTAGGCCTCTACTACTGCTGCTAGTAGTACTTAGACTACT